GGGCTGATCTTCTTAGTGAGTCACCAACAATCAAGTGTTCAAGAAAGCATCCTGTTTTGAGTAAACCCTCAAAAGCCAAAAAATGTTTTAAAAATCTACCCTATTTTACATCTGAGCACCCAGTCTTATAAATCCATTCAGCCTCAGTATCTCTATATAATCCATTGCCTTACAGATGCATCAGTGGGTTACTTAGACATTTGCCTTGCCCTTGAAGAATCCCCCACATTTGAGACAGACAGGAAAAGAAGTCATGTCCCACAGTGGGAGAAGGACTACAGTCCCACCTGGCTGTGTGCAAACAACAGTGCCCTCAACAACAACTGAAAAGACAGAAAAGACAAGTGTCACTTACTCTGGTTTCACAGGACTGTGTCAAGCAGTCTTTGTGTCTGGAGCTCTTAGAGTCTTTATGAGTTCAAGGTTCAAGGTCCTGATTAAGAAATTCTTAGCTTCCTGTGCGATAATGAAGATAGGACTCCGAGTTCTCAATCTTTCAGAATGACAAGGAGGGGACAACTTTCTTCTTTTTGGTATGGTCACATGTCCATGAATGGGCCACACACCACCAGTGGCCAGTTCTGGAAGGCCAAGTTCTCTCTAAGGTTTATTCTGCTCCCTCAGCTGCACTTCAGTCTGGGAATGTCTGCCCTAAGGACACTGGGTGGTGGGGTTGGGTGGAGTGAGTGGGGATGAGGTGGGTGGTAATAGGACGTTCCCAGAATTTGTGAAGCAATCGAATGGCCGGAATTCACGTGTGGTGAGGGGGCAGGGCACAGAGTTCTTACCCACAATGAATAGTCTTTTTTTTTTTTAAGATTGCAAATGGAAGGATTTAAACAGGAACTATGGGTCCTGTTCCTTAAAATGATCTAGCTCATACAGCCTGAGACGGGCAGGAGGCAGCTTCCCTTTGGCACCCACTACGTCCTCCACCTCTGACTCCTCTCTTTGCTCCCCAGTCTCTGCCCCACAAACCCCACAGAGCAGTTTTACCTGAAGGAACCTCCAGCCTGGAGTGGAATACAAGTTGTTGGTTGGATTTTGGATTTTTGGATCTCAGCTCTCTGCTTAAGACATGGATGGATCACTGTGTCTTTTTAAATCTTAGAACCCACTCCATCGGAAGAACACTGAGTACTTATGCCGAGAGGAGGGTGCACAGGGTGGGCTTGTACATGGCAGTGTCGCAGAGTGCCTGGTACCAGGAGGAACGTCAGCTCTGGTGATGCTTACTCCAGCTCTCCCTACAGCTACCAACTCCTGTTCTGTCATTGTGCTGATTCCCTCCCCATTTCTATTTTATCTGATGTAAAATGGGGGTCCTGGAACCTTCTCCACAAGATAACTGCAAAGTACCATTTCTGAAATCACAAGTGTGAATGTGCTTTGAAAATGCCATTGGTCCCTCCAAGACTCAGTTCCCTCTTCTGTAAAATGAAGACTTTAGACAAGGTGGCAGTGTGCCCTTCAGTGGGACATTGAGTGAGTCTTTTGTCTAGGGTTATACACATACAAGCCAAGGGCCAGATATAGTGAGCAGACTTTAGTTGGCTGATCCCTGTTCAAGACTGAATATGAAC